AAATTTGCTACATTACCATTAAAATAAACTAACTTGCCAAATATAGAATAACTTTATGTTAAATAAATATGTAATAAAAAAAATAAAGAGCATTACAACAACAATAACAAATTGCTTACTAAGATTCTCAACAGAATCTTCTTAGCCTAATAGGCTAAGTGAGGAATTTTGTTGTTTTTTTTTTTTTTTTTTGTGTGCAAATACATTTATGCTTTTTTAGTTTTTTTAAAGTTATTTATCAACTGACTTTTGTCTGTTGTGACAGTTTGTCAGTCAGCAAGTGACTTTTGTAATTTTTAAATTTATTTTATTTAGAAAAATTAGAAGATTCTGTTGAGAATCTAAGTAAGCAATTTGTTATTGTTGTTGTAATGCTCTTTATTTTTTTTATTACATATTTATTTAACATTAAGTTATTCTATATTTGGCAAGTTAGTTTATTTTAATGTTTAAATTTTTCATTTTATTTAGAAAAATTAGAACATTCAATGGGTAAACAGAATTTGATTATATTACATTTGTGTATTATAGATAAAGATATAGCATTTTACTTTCAAAAAAAAAGGTGTATTCTATGGTCTTTTAGCTTTTTTGATACAATTTTTAGCATTTTTTTTTTTATAGGGCTTATATTTCAACAACTTAGTAAGTTACTATATTGTTCTTGTGGATTGTTTCTTTATTTTTATTTTTTATTTTTTTTGTCGCTTTTTTCTTTTTTGGTTTGTTTTGTTTTGTGATTGTTATTTTTGCCTTTTGTTTTGTTCCAACTTTATTTATAGATTTCCTAAAGTTGAAAAATATTCTGCATGTTAGTTTCTTTCCTAATGTTAATGAGTTTTTTTTTATTCTATTTAGAAAATTTAGAAAATTCAATTGGTAAGCAAAGTACACTTATGTTTCTTTTTGTTTAATTTTAACACACATTTTTTGATGTTTGTGTGCAGTTTTATCACTCTAAAATAAACTGTAAATAAATTGATTAGTATATGTTAGTAAACTGTAAATAAATTGATTAGTATATGTTAGTTTATGTAAATATATTTTTTACCTCCACTATAGCGTCATCTGCAGTACCATCAGGTAATGTGTTTTGCATTCTTATGCAGTTTTAAGAGTGTTATGTGTGTTAAAACTTAAAGATAGCATATCTTAATTTACAGATTACTTTATTTATTTATTTTTTTGTCTCTACATTAGCACCTCAAGCAATAATATCAGGTAATCTGTTTAGCATACTTATGCAGTTTTATGGGTTTTATGTGTATTTAAACTTAATCATTACTGTTTTCATGCAATTACATAAATGTTAAACATATGTTACTTTATACACTTTTTTTTTTTTACCTTGACAATAGCACCAATGTCATCATATGCAGTACCATCAGGTAATGTGTTTTGCATACTTATGCAGTTTTATGAGTGTTATGTGTATTGGAACTTAAACATTACTTTTTTCATGTTTGTAAACAATTTCATAAATGTATAACATATGTTACTTTATACACTTTTTTTTTTTTTACTTTCACAATAGCATCAATATTATCTGCAGTACCATCAGGTAATGATGTAATTTAATGTAAAACTTAAAGATTGCATATCTTATTTTGCACATCACTTTATTTATTTATTTTTTTGTCTATACATTAACACCTCAAGCAATAATATCAGGTAATCTGTTTAGCATACTTATGCAGTTTTATGAGTTTTATGTGTATTGAAACTTAAATTTTTTTTTTCATGTTTTCATGCAATTTCATAAATGTTCAACATATGATACTTTATACACTTTTTTTTTTTTTACTTTCAGAATAGCATCAATATCATCTGCAGTGCCATCAGGTAATGTGTTTTGCATACTTAGGCAGTTTTATGGGTTTTATGTGTATTGAAATTAAACATTACTTTTTTCATGTTTGTTATCAATTACATAAATGTTTAACATATGTTACTTTATACACTTTTTTTTTTTTTTACTTTCACAATAGCATCAATATTATCTGCAGTACCATCAGGTAATGTGTTTTGCATGCTTATGCAGTTTTATGAGTGTTATGTGTATTGGAACTTAAACATTACTTTTTTCGCGTTTGTATGCAAAAACATAAGTGTTTAATATATGTGTTTGTTTATATACTTTTTTATTTATTTCCGCAATAGCAACAGTATCAACTGCAGTACCACCAGGTAATGTGTTTTCCATACTTATGCAGTTTTTTCGTACTTATGCAGTGTTATGTGTATTGAAACCTAAACATTACTTTTTTCATGTTTGTATGCAATTACATAACTGTTTAATATATGTGTTAGTTCATATACTTTTTTATTTATTTCCATAATAGCAACAATATCTGCAGAACCATCAGGTAATCTGTTTTGCATACTTATGCAGTTTTGTGGGTGTTATGTGTATTTGTGTAGGTGTATATGAAATTTAAACATTGCATATCCTTATTTTTACATTACTTTATTTATTTCTTTTTTTTGTCATAACTTTTTTTTTTTTGAAGTCTAAATAGTTTTAAATAATATTTTTATTGGTTGTTTTGTGCAGTATTGTATTCAAATTTATTTCTTTTTTTGTTTTTGTTTTTTAGCATCGTATCAAGATTTCCTGCAATATCGCTCCCAGCACCCAGGTCCGATATCTCAAAGAGCTTTCTACCGGTGGAGTCAATATGGGGGAGATGATCCCTTCTTTAGATGGAGGAGACAAGCCCCATATGACACCACTGGTAGAAGGAGGGGTGCTGGAAAGCGGTTTAACTCTTTTAATTTCTACCAGTAGCTTTTTTAAACTACTGGTAGAATTATCTTCTTTTTTATTTATAAAGAAAATTGACTTTTTAAAAAAATGTTTTTTTTAATTTCGCAATTTTTTATTATTTTAATTTATATACTTTTACTATTTTATTTTTTTGATTTTTAATTCTGTTTTTAAATCCTAAACTTACAAAGAACTCTTATGTTATAAAAGTTTTTAATAATTTGTCAATAAGTTTTTTTATTAATTTACGTTTTTACTTCTTTTTATCCTCATTTTTAATTTTAATAATAATAAATTTTCTTTTGTATTAACTTTTATTTGTTAAGTGTTATATAGTTTTTGAAAGATTTGGTAAATATATTTAAAGTTTTTCTTTTTCTATGATATCTGTTTAATATGTCTAATATATGCACTATACACCTATTAATATCTTTACATTATTCTCTTTAGATATATTATAAAATAGTATTTAAAATCAGTTGTCAGCCACATGTGGTCTATATGATGCAACATGTTTGCAATTGTTGGCATGTCATTTAAAAATATGTAACTAATTTTGCTTTTTAATATTACCATTAATATGACTTTTAAAATAATAAAATTTTTTATTTGTTTCAAAAAATACTGTTTTATTACTTACAATATAGTATGTTATTACAAGATACTTCTGACTTTTTCTCTGTTTCAAACCAGTTTAGTTATATCTTTTGTTCACAGATTTTATTAGACGCTATACACATAGTTTCATAGGTTTAAACTGATAAATAGCACTTTATTGTTTTTGTTCATTTTAGATTAGTATAGCAAAAAATTAATAAGATAAAGTTTTATCAAACATAAATAATTTCTCAATTATGTCAAGTAACTTAAGAGCTGAAAATAGAAGAAATCGTCGAAATGAGAGAAATGAGGTCAGACGAGAAGAAATTAATCGTTGCCAAAATGAGAGAAATGAGGCCAGACAAGAAGCAATTAATCGTCGGCAAAATGAAAGAAATGAGGCTAGGCGAGAAGAAATTAATCGTCGTCAAAATGAAAGGAATGAGGCTAGACGTGAAGAAGTTAATCGTCGCCAATAATGAAAGGAATGAGGCTAGACGTGAAGAAGTTAATCGTCGCCAAAATGAAAGGAATGAGGCTAGACGTGAAGAAGTTAATCGTCGCCAAAATGAAAGGAATGAGGCTAGACGTGAAGAAGTTAATCATCGCCAAAATGAAAGAAATGAGGCTAGACGAGTATTATTTAGGCTTGGAATGCATTGCATAGCAAGAAATAATGTTTTTATAGAGAGTAATTACCTAGGAGAAATGAACCATAATTGTCAGTATTGTGGTGCTAAAAATTTTTTAAATGAAACACATTTTTTGTGCTGCCATTCAGGAAAGGTTGTCTTACCTCCACTTTCACCTTATCCACCGCTGATGGTTGATTTAATGACAGGCAACCATGTTGATTGTGCTTTGAATCAAAATTTTTTCAAGCATATACGAAATTATAATGCCTGTCTATCTTTTGCTTCATTCATAGCCACAATAGATCCTCCGTCAAATCGTGGTTCACCCTGTTTTAGAATTAGTGGGCAAATTATGCATCGTATTGGTAATCTAAGACATCAGCAAGGGGATCCACCTGCTTATTGTCAATTATATGTTTATGATCCTAATACTGCTTTAAACTTTCGAATGGAGCAAAATGATTGTTGCATACGTGAGTTAATGGAACTTTTGCAGACTATAATTAATCAGGAGAACCCATATGCGCTTGCATTTAAAAACATGGCAGAAGTTGAAGATGCAGAAATTCGTCAAGCTGCTATAGAAGGTTGACCAATTTCTGTTGTCAAAATGTCGTTGCTTGAGGGTTGTGATAGACGCGATACAATCTTCCATCACATGAAGAGGTTGCCATTGTGTTTGTAGGAAATGATGGTGCTCCACCTCCATCTAGAGAAGTTGTTATTTATCCTTGAGGTCAACCCTTAAAAACAATTTCAAGTATGTCTGCAAATCTAGATCCAATGATATATCCAATATTTTTTCCAAGAGGTGATGCAGGATGGCATGATCAACTAGAGCACAATCCTGACCGAGCAACACGTGTTCGAAATCGTGTTACTTTGTCTCAGTACTACAATAATAGGCTTTCTATTAGACAAACGTTCAGTCCTATATTTTATGGTAAGAAACTTTTTCAACAGTATGCTGTTGATGCATATGTCAAGATTGAAGGGCAGCGCCTTGCTTTTATCAGAAATAACCAAAACAAACTTAGAAGTGAACAATACGATACATTACATGAGTATGTAAATAATGTTGCAAATAACCTTAATGTAAGACCAGGTCGTGTTGTTATACTACCATCCTCATATGTTGGAAGTCCAAGAGCTTTAAAAGAAAATTTTGAAGATGCAATGGCAATTATAAAGAAATATGGTAAACCAGATCTTTTTATTACTTTTACCTGTAATTCAAAATGGAGAGAAATTACAGAAAATTTAAATCCAGGTGAGAGCGCAACTGAACGGCCTGATTTAGTTTGTCGCGTATTTAAGATGAAACTTAAATGCTTCTTAGGTGATATTTTTAAACATGGAGTCTTAAGCAAAGTTGTAAGTCATGTACAGGTTATTGAGTTTTAAAAACGTGGTTTGCCACATGTGCATATTTTATTACACTTTGTAAACGATGATAAGCTAGAAACAGCAGAGGATATTGATAGTTTAATATCAGCTGAAATTCCTGATCAAACTGTTGATCCTGAACTTTTTGAAATTGTAAAAACATGTATGATTCATGGACCATGTGGGATTTTAAATCCCAATTCTCCTTGCATGAAAAATGGAGTTTGCACAAAAAAATTTCCTAAAGAGTTTAATCCTTGCACTTTTGCAATTTTCAATGGTTATCCTAACTACAGGCGTTTAGATAATGGTAGAGTAGTCATTATAAAAGGTAACCAAGTTGATAATCGATGGGTCGTACCCTATAACCCCTGGTTATCAAAAAAATACCAAGCCCACATTAATGTTGAAGCTTGCATGTCTATTAAGTCAGTGAAGTATTTATACAAATATGTCTATAAGGGGCATGATTGTGCGAATGTGGTAATTAATGAAAGTGTTGACCATGATGAAATTAACACATATTTAGACTGTCGCTTTGTTTCCGCCCCAGAGGCTCTTTGGCAAATATATGAGTATTCCATAAGTGATATGTCACATACTATTATCCGCCTTCAAATCCACCTTCCTGATAATCAGAGAGTATATTTTAACGAAGGAGAAGAACAAGTAGCTATAGATCGTGCAGCACAGCGTGACACTCACCTAACTGCTTGGTTTAAGTTAAATGCTGAAAATAATGAAGCACGTCAGTATTCTTATGTTGAAGTTCCATACCACTTTGTTTTTGGTAAAAATTGCATGTGGAAAGTAAGACAAAGAGGTAGTGATAAGGTGGTTGTTTGAATGTATAAAGTCAGTTCATTTTGCGAATTATTTTTTCTCAGATTGTTTCTTTTGCATGTAAAAGGTGCAAAGTCTTTTGAGGATTTGCGTACTGTTCATGGTACTGTTTTTAATACATTTCGTGAAGCATGTTATCATTTAGGTTTATTGCAAATTAGGCTACTGTTTTCCATCATATTAACTTTATGTGAACCTGATGATCCTTTACACCTTTGGAATACATTTAAAAATTATATGGTTGAGGATTACATACACCATTCAATGCCAGTCGTACTTGCTGAGCAGGCAGCTCTTCGTCAAATTGAATCTATAATTAATCAGAGTGGTAAAACCTTAGCTGATTATAATTTGCCAGCGTTAGATCAGTTTTTAGATAATGTCCCAGAAAATGATGATGAAGATGTTCAGGTGTTTATTGATGAAGCAAACCGAGTTAGACCATTATTGAATGATAATCAACGTAATGTAGCTGATGCGATCCTTGTTGCACTAAATGTGGAACCTACTAATGAAAATGAGCATTCAAGGTTGTTTTTTATGGATGGGCCTGCGGGTTGTGGTAAAACATTTACTTACAATTATTTAATTTCTGAAACACAGAGCAGGCATATTAGAACTGCAACAGCTGCATGGACAGGAATAGCTGCAAATCTTCTCAAAAATGGGTGCACAATGCATGGCTTATTCAAACTTCCTATTCCAATTTTGGAAACTAGCACATGTAATGTAACTCCAAACTCTATTCATGGTAGATTCCTGAGACAAATCAGTTTGTATTTACTTGATGAAGCATCTATGATACCCAAATATGCTTTGAGTGCCATTGATAAGCTATTACAAGATATTTGTAATAACAACTTTCCTTTTGGTGGTAAGGTTATTCTTATGGGTGGAGACTTTAGACATACTTCCAGTTGTGAAGTGAGGTCGACCAGCAGAAGTTATAGAATCATGTTTAAAATGTTCTGAACATTGGCAATATGTGCAAAGGTTCTCATTAACTGTAAATATGAGGGTTCAGATAGAAGAAGAGTAATTTTCTCAATGGCTTTTAAAGCTTGGAAGTGGAACATTACCTGTCAAGCCTAAAGATCCTTTGCGAGGGTGTATTGAAATACCTGAGCAGTGCTTTCTCAGTGATAATGAATCTATTGTGGAGAAGATTTTCGGTGGTGCAGAAGAAGCTGATTATGCAAAACGTGCTATTTTAACGCCAACAAATGTTGATTCATTGGCAATAAATGAAGAAGTCCTTCATCGTTTACCCGGTGATGTGAAAACATATTTAAGTTCAGATAGCATTGATACTGATGATCTTAATGAAATTAATAACTTTCCAGTCGAGTTTTTAAATAGTTTGACTCCATCAGGTATGCCTGTTCATTGCCTAAAATTAAAAATTGGTGCTGTTATAATGCTACTAAGAAATTTAGATCTCAAAGGTGGACTTTGTAATGGAACCCGTTTGATGGTGCGTGCATTACACAACAATTATATTGATGGTGAGGTTTTAACAGGTGTATCAGCTGGTAACAGGGTATTTGTTCCTCGAGTTCAATTAGCTCCATCAGATGCAAATTTACCTTTTACACTTAAACGCCGTCAGTTTCCAGTTAGGTTAGCATACTCAATGACCATAAATAAAAGTCAAGGTCAAACATTTGAAAAAGTTGGTGTTTATCTTAAAAAGCCTTGCTTTTCACACGGCCAATTATATGTTGCATGTTCAAGAACAAGATCATTTAATAGTTTGCTTTTCAAAGTTGATAAACATCCATTACAAGGTATGTCATTTAACAAACATTACACAAATAATGTTGTCTTTACAAATGTTCTTAATTTATAATTTTGACAAGTATATTATGTGTTATATGTGTTTTATATTTTTTGTATGTTTTTTTTTTTTTTTGCTATATGTGTATATAAATGTATGTGTTTATATGCGTTTATATATCTTTATTTATATTTATGTGCTTAAGTTTATACAAGTTTATATTAAGTTGTTTCCATGTGAAAAGTGGTGTTACTTGGCAACGTGTAGTGCAAGATTGTGATTCTTGCTAGCCAAGCGGTGTTACTAATTAGTGGTGTTACTTGGCACTTAATGCCAAGCGGTGTTACTAAATTGTGGTGTTACTTGGCAGCGTTTAGTGCCAAGCGGTGTTACAAGTGTTGAGCTAGGTTGTGTTGTCTAGCTTTTTTAATTATTCTGGAAACACATAATCTGAATATTTTGTGTTATGTGCAAATGTGTTATGTACAAATATTTGATGCTATGTGTATTCAGTATCATAGGCAGGGTCTTTTGATGCTTCAGATAACACTTTCAACCAAACTTAAGTGTATTCACGTTTATAGAATTAAAATACTTTGCAAAAAATTGATGTTGTTAAAGCTTAGGAACAAATGTTTAAAAAAAGTGTTTTTCCTAACCTGAATTTTTTTAAACATAACAAAGTTAAACTCTTCTAAATATATATCAACAGCTTCTAAATATATATCTGAAACAACAAAAATCCTGCCTACACTACTGGTGTTATTGTTTGTCATCCTGTAATGTTGTTGTGATGTTTTGTGTTGATAGACAGCTTGGCTTACCTTCACGTTGGTGTCTATCGTTAAAAATGATTATTGGGTAGCTTCATTACTGAAACTTACTCCTAATCATTCACTAAAAGCCAAGAAATATTTTAAGAAAAAATGCCTAATTTTTTTGTGTCAGTAAGAATTTTTATCTTTAGCAATGCTGATAAAACTGAGTTTTTTAAAAAAAAGAGTATTTCCAGCCTTCCAACCAAATATTAGAGACTTTTACAAAAGCACTCTCACAAAGTAAGTGTCTAATATTTATTTAATATTACTAAATTTCGTTTCGTATTTTTCATTTTTCAAATGAATTAACATTAAACAAATAAATGTGCATTCAGTGTTATCAATAATGATTTTATTTCATTTTTAGATAAGTCTTTCAAATCGTTAATCATTTTCTAAAGGCGAAGAAGAAGAATCATTAATCTTCATACCATTTAATAAAGCTATTTTAATAAAACGCAATACAAATTGTTGTAAATTAGTATTTGAATAATTTTCACATTGTTACTTTATTTTGCAGTTTCCTATCACTTTGTATTGAATTAACTAAATCCAATATTACAGTTCCTTTTATCAAGTACTTCACATTTTTTGTTTTTGTTTTATGCAGAAAAACAGATCAAGTTAATTTATTTGACTTGCCTAGCTACTTATTTTACAGGCCTAGCCACAGTGAGTGTGCATAAATCAACAGAGTATTTGGGTTTGGGCAGGTTGTCTTGAACTAAATGATTTACCTTCTTCATGTTAAGCTCTAAATATAAATATACGGAAAAGGTGCATATGTGAATTTTTTTTTTCTAGCGCATAATCTATTGTTCACTAAAAAATATTAGAGGGAGAAATAGAGATAAGGATTATGTGGAATAGAATTTGTCCTTTTAAGTGAAAAACTATTTTATAATTTATCTATCTTCTATATAATAATGCCGAACTTAATAGTAGTGTTAGTAGAAAGAGTCGCAGCACTTTTTTTAGAAGAAAACGTGTATGCAAATATTTAACGTACGTAATTAAGTAATGATAAAACATACTGAAATATTTTTCAAGTTTTATAGTTTGACTTTGACTTAAAAATTGCATTGCGTCAACCTCTCCATTAAAAACCAATTCCGTTTAAAACAATTTTTATATATTTTAAAAATTTCGATATTTGATGTGTCAGCATGGCCGAGTGGTTAGCGCGCTAAGCTTCTGAACGTAATAGTCGTGGTTCAAATTTACCACCAGCGATTTTTTTCTTTAAATTACAAAATATTTGTGAAGTTAAACAAGTTAAATGTTATACACTTTAACCGTTTTTTCTTTTTAAATTTTAAAAAATTTTTTTGGATTTCTAAAAACACCAATAAACGGGGCGAAAATTTGTTGCGTGTGTGTCACGATTTTGATACTGTTCTCGCATAATTGGTCCTAATAAGCTACCGATAGTTTTAAAAAAAAAGGTCCTAAAACCTAATAAAGAAAAATTTGATAAAACCGTCATGCTACTCCACATGGTATTGCAGTGGAGGCAGGGAAAAAAAAAGCAATTAAAAGGTTTTTTGTTATATTTAATTTTTTGCTATAAATATAGCCAGATTAAAAAAATTTAAAAAAATGTATTGAGATTTTTTAGGCGCGGATTTGAAGCCTTGCACAGCAAATCTGATGACAGCGCACTTGACTTGTGAGCTATCAAAGTTATGCATGTAGTTAGGCGCTTCAACATTTTTTTAAAAATGTAAAATGAAAACAAAATAAATACCATAAATAAGAGCTAAATAATAACGTTTAAAAATTACCAAACTTTTTGTTATATTATTATTAGTTTTTCAACTTTTAAACCACAAAATTTATAATTTATTTTTTTGCATGACTTTTGACGCTTTAAGCGACTAACGTTTTAAAGAATTGCATTACCGTTTCCGTCTAATACAAAGGTAACTATAAAAGACCGTTATTATTCAAAACTAAGCATATAATAATAATAATAAATATAGTAAATAGTAACTATTGAAAACGGCTAGGACGCGACCATAAACCATGGTCCATGGCTGGTCTAAAAGTAGGAAGTAGTTTAGTTCAGAATTTAAAAAAAAAAAATAAATAAACGGGGTTTAATAAGCTATATACGTATGCGGAAAAAGTGCGTATGTTAAAGTTTTTTTTTGCTCTCAAAGCAAATTTTTTTGATGAATTTTTTTCCACCGTTCACTAAAAAATATTGAAGTAAATAAGGAACAAGTAAAGAAATGATTGGCGTGGAATAAATAAATATAGAAGTAGAAGAAAAGACCTGTATTTACCGATACGGACAGCTAGATTAAAAAAAAAAGGGAAAAGGTTTGTGTGGAATAGAATTACAAAGACCCGTATTTTTACGGGTCAATCCAGCTAGTAATTTAATAATGTGTTAGTGACAAATTTTACACGAAATTTATTGTTTCAAATTAAACGATCGTATGCTTTAGTTTAATTTTAAAGATATCAATAATCTTTGATCATTAAATTGCGCATTAAATTATTAACAGCATAGTATCTGTATAAAAATATAATAAAAAGCAATATGTGCATCACTGTAATGTTTCCATTTATAATTTACTTTTTTTAAAATAAAGAATATTAAGAAATTTTTTTAAAGGATAGTACTTTGTTGAGCACAAAATCGTTAAAATATTCATTTTTGTTAATTTTAGGCATAACCGTAACTGTTAAAAAAAAATATTTTCAAAAAATAGAAGTTCAATAAATAATTCATTCAGCAAATTAGTTTAACAATAAATGACTACAGTAAAAAAAACACACACATTCTATTCAGTTAATAAAAACACGAGAGCCGAGAGCCGCTCAATTTTTGCGGCTCCGGCTCCACCAAAAGTCAGCGGCTCCCCGGCTACGGCTCCGGCTCGGCTCCACAAGCCTGATATAAATATAGATGAGGCAGTGTCAACATGTGATTGCCCGCTCTGTATCATGTCAAGAGATAAATCCAAATCTATAAACCTTCAGGTAATTTATAAAGAACTCATATTTCATATTGTGGATTAATGCGGTAGTGGTGTAGTGGTAGAGCGCTCACTTCATAAACGAGTGGTTCCGAGTTCGATCCCCACCACGTCCCTGGTAGTACCGCGCTAAAATTGTTTCTCCGCGCAGCGGCCTTGTTCGTCAAGGTTCGTGTTTCGGAGTTATAGAGTTGAGAGAGGGTTATAACCACATATAAGTAGCCTCCTCGTCTGTAGTGGCCTTCTCGGCCTTGAGGAGGTGAATTAAAATTAATATATATATATATATATATATATATATATGTAGCTCAATTATTTACGTTTAAAACATTTATACAATTATAACTTTATTATAGTTTAAATAACTATATTTTAAATAAGTATAGTTTTTTTTTTTTATTTAGGATGTATTAAACATGTACATTAGTGACCCTGATGTACCAAAGAAGGTCATAGATAAAATTTGTTGTACTTGTTAACAGAGAATTGGATCTGGAATTCAACATCCCTGTAGTAAGAGAGACATTGTACAGAACCTAAAAACACTGCTAATGACAACAGATAAGAGCTTAATTATAGTTTTTTTAAACCTAAATTTTTACGTAATCTTAAAACATATTTACAAGTTTTCAGGTTTAAAAACAGTTAAGAAAGTATATCTGAAAGAAATTTAACAATTTAAAAATATTGAGTTAGACAACACTGTTTTAATGTCGACTGGAGGAACTCCTTTAAGTCTGCAGATTGGGAATAAGCCAACCCTTAAATATCTA